GAGTGCTTGTCGCCTTGCTGCCTCTTCACCTTCCACCTGACTCCTCGCCATTTCCTTCTTGCTCTCCAGACCCCCACCGTCCTACAGACTCACAGCCTCCAGACTTCCTCATTGTCCTCATGCGCTTCTTTGCATAGAATTCTTTCTTCCCAGTTTCTCTGCCTGGCCCAACTCTCTTCTTCTCTAGTGCTCACAAAAATGGCTCTGAGATTTCTCTGATTTCCCATGCCTGGACAGAGTTCCTCCCTCCCCTGCCCATGCTGTTTTTGTACTTCATTTACATCTCTATTGTGATGTCTATGACTCTGAAAAATGGTTGCTTACATGTTTTTCTCCTTAATTTGAGCCCATAACTCGTGCATCTCTACACATTGGTACATTGTGAGTGCTCAGTAAATGTGTATCCAACACTGAAACACACACGCGCACACACACACACACACAAACACACGACACTGAAACACACACGCGCGCACACACACGCACACACACACACACAAACACACACACGCATGCATGCATTTTGAATAAAGTCCTGACTCCATTATTGGTGGAATGATGTTCAGAAGAATTGTGAATTTTTTGGCTCTCAATCTTCTCTGTTGTGAGTGGGCGTTATAATGCCTTGCCAGCTTTATATAACTGTTATGGGAAAATCTACGTGAAATTGCTTTAAAAAAGGTAATCCAAAATAAATGAACATTCTCTTAAGAGATGATGTCTATAGTAAAAAAGAAACCTTAGTGAACCCACAAATCAAGCCTCATTAATTTTATGAAACGTTATCCCTTTTACTTATTTAAAAGCGACATGGAAATGTTGCCTGAGCTACACTGTCACAATTGCAGAAAACAAAAATATAAGAACAAAACACCATAAGAGAAACTCAGACACATATGCTCATGGATAATATTGTTTCGAATAAGAGCATGGCATGTTGGTTAGTGAAAATAGAAAGGCCTTGGGAATGAAAAGGTAGCATAACTCTAAATCTTTTCATTCATTCCCTTCTCAAACATAAAGCTGCCCAACCGTGTCTCATGTATTGGACAAGGCATTTGAAAAGCAAAAGTATGCTGGGTCACCAGTTGGAAAATTTAACTTATTCATCAACCAAAAATGTATTAGTGATGATAATCACATGAATACATGTGCATGTAGAATGCATTTTACATGTAACATACCTACCTACATCCACACAAAGTTATGTCTGCACAAATGTCCAATGTTATTTATTTGCCAAATATAAATAGAAGGGTGGTTAGAAGCAAGGGCTCTGGAGTGAGACCTACCCTAAGTCTTGACCTGCTTTTCTGAGCTCTGTAACCATCCTGGGCATTAGTTTCCTCATTCAGGAAATGGACATAGTATTATGTGATGAACTTGTTGTAAGGATTAGAGGAATAATGGGAAACATTTTGCTTTGTGCTTGAATTTTGCTAGAGATTATTCAGGGGCTCTGGGTCAAAACTAACCTAAAAACCTCACACATCAGACTCAGGCTTAGACAGCTGTCACTACCCAGTTCTTTTGCCCACAGAGTCAGAATCACAATCAATTCATGGCCCATGTGACTTAAATCAAATACGAATTTTTGATAATGAACAAATATGAATATTTGTTCATTACTGTGCTTTCCATATAAATCCCATTTGCAGGAATTTGTCAAAGACCAAATTTACATCCCATGTAATTCGACTGGGAAATTTGGGATGAGCAAAATTTAGAATTTACCGATTTCAGGTGTGTGTGTGTGACCCTGTCCCTTAAGGCTAACTTGTGGGAAGTGCTTCCTGCCTGTCCTAGAACTCTAGCCACCTCCTGGGGAAGGAGGGTTGAGCCCCAAGTGTATTTGAAACTCTTGCTTGGTGTGCTTCGTTAATCTTCTCCTGGCGTTCCATGCTTCTATATGCTGAGCTTAACTTACTGTGACTGGAGTTGATGGAAACTGAAGAGCAGAGGCAATTTACATCTTGTAAATCACGGAACGCTGGAAACCCACCCATGGCACATCTGGAGAGACCTGCATTATTTAGTGCCTCTGCCCCTCCCTGCTGTCTCTAAAGTTGTAAAGCATGCAGAGCAGCTGTCTCTCAAACTTGCACCTGATTATGCACTGTCTTATTTTATTCTCTAATTGTAGCATGAGAGTCACCCTTTTCTCCCTGCAGACTATAAACCTACCCCGGACAGGCCCTGGGTCTAACAGTTCTTTCCCTGGCTGCTGACAGCACTAAGCTTACTGCCATCAGCAACAAGATTGACATTTGGCTGTTTAATCAGCCAGAGTCAATATGTAATAAGGACATAAGTAAAAAATTTAATATGTGTTAGTTACAAGGACTTTTCTACTAATTTTGCCACGAGAAATGCCTGTGTCCTTAATCAGGGATCTCTCCCGCTGTTTTAAAAGCAGATGCTGGGGCAGGGACTTGGGTGCAGGTACCTTATTTAGGAGATGATATCAGGAAACAGAGATGAGGGAGGGGCAAAGGTGATGGGGAAGAGTGAACCACCAATAAAGGGTGCATTAATGAGCGGGTTACCACTGAGGGCTGTCTCTCAGGGGATCCTCTGAACAATGCCGTAGGATGTAGTTCAGTATTGTCTCGTCAGGAGCAGGGGTGCTGAGGTGCACATCCATTGATTCCCATTGGCTAAGGATTGACGCAGGAGAAGTGCATTCCCTAGCACTCCAGGCAGCAAGACACCCGCTGCAGAGAGAGCCCTCAGAGAACCTGCCTGGGCTTGGAGTAGGCGGCTTTTTGAATGCGCTCTGGGCACCAATACCTGCACTGGCTGGAGCCGGGCAGGGGGATATCCACATGTCTGTCTCTGTTAGGAGCTCTGAAGATCAGATACCAGGTCCCAACCAAGCACAAAAAATCAGAGGGACTGGTAGTCTGACAGCCTTGGAGTTTGCCTCTGCTTGTGGTATATCTTACTGTGTGATCTTGGACACAGAACTTGTCACTCTTAAGCTTCATTTTCCTTACCTGTAAAATTATGATGATTATATTGCAGGGATGTTATTAGCATTCGATGAGATAGTGAATGTGAAATGCCTATTGTGTGACTGGTATGTAGGTGTTCCCAAAATACCTATCATCATCATCATCATCATCATCATCATCAACCATAATAATCATCATCATCATCATCATCATCATCATCATCATCATCGTTTTACAGCATTATGCCCTTTACACAATGTATCTCAGAAAAAGATTTGTCGAATCAACTAATTTTATCAAATTCTAACCGGTAACTTTTGCTCATGATTTGAAGACATGGTAAAAGTTTGTAATGAAGTAGCTGAAACTCTCAGCAGCGACCAAAGTGCTGGGTAGGCATTTCAGACTTTCGGATGATCCTCATGTTCCCTCAGGACCATGTTGGAATTGCCAGCTCTGCTGTCCAGAGGCTACATCCCAATGAGGTTCTAGGATTGACTCAGTTTTCACTGTTTTGCTCATTTCCACATCTGTGGAACTTATGATAATGCCTGTGGTATAGGGAGCATTCAGAAGCTTTTGCTCAGCATGGGCGGATCACTTTCAGGTCTCTGAACTCGGTAGTCTCGTCCACATTATGGAAATAGTAGCACATGTCGTACAGACCTCACTGCTTTTCTATAATGACCAGGCGAGCTGCTGGCTCCCTTGCGCCCTTTAGAAAAATCTCAGAAGCCAGATAGATGGGAAGCTCTGCAATTTTCGCTTCTGGTTATTTTCAGTGGAAAACATGGCCCAGGAGAGAAAGTGTTAAGGAGAATGTCCTGAAGATACAGATGGTGCTTATAAAGAAAAAGTCTATTTTTCAATTTACAAAAATGATTAGCTGGGATCCCACTGAGTTCACTGCATGGGCTACTGCTAGTTTTAATTTGTGCCAATAGGACGGAGGGATAAACTTTAATGAGGATCTGTGTTCTCTCATCATGGGCAAAGTTAGATGAAGTGGCAGAGGGGGCAGGGGTGGTGAGAGATAATTGGAGGATTTGGACAATGGGGCTGCATCTTGGGGACAGATGAATGCTTTGCTGCCTTCACAGTCAGAGTCCTATCATCGTAGTTCCCACCTGAGTGAGGATGGGAATGGGAATGTCACAGTTACCCAAGGAGCAAGAAGTAGGGGGATTCCAGGCATAGTCCGTGAAGTCAGATGGCCTGGGTTTGCCACTGACCGTGTGAACTTTGTTCTTCCGTTACCTCATTTGCAATTTACAGCAGTTATATCTATGTCATAGTGTTGTGATATGAAGCATGATATTACCAATAAAGAATTTAGAATAATGCCTTGCATATGTTAAATACTCAGTAAGTTTATTTATAAGTTCATGAAATTATTTTAGTTACAAATGCCCATCCATCTGGAGAAGTAGCACAGGACCCCTTAGCCCCAGAAAGTCACCCATTCCTTGTATGTTCCCCCATTCCTTGAATGTCCCCATCTCATGGGAAAGGGGAGTGAGGTATGTGTACTTTAATAAAAGCCCCCCTGAGTGATTTTGATATTATCTCCCTCCCTTAATATCTGTTGAGAACCACTCCACCTTCACATGGAGAAGTCTATGATAAGTACATCGCTGGTGGCAATAGCAAAACATAGATTCGAACTGCCAAGGAGAATTTTCTGAAGAAATGATTTCAACTGAAGCAAGACTATTAGCCTTTTCCCCCTCAGCATTTCTCTTCATACATCTGTGAGACTCACACGGTGGCCCGATAGGCTAGAGAGCAGCCCATGTATGTTTCCTTTGTGATTTTTAGAAATAAATACCTGCAACATGAAAACAGTGCCCGTTGTTTTTCTAAGGGACTTGGAGACATCCGTTTTTGTTGCACTACACCAGAACTCAGATGCAGGAGCATGGCTGCTTTGATTGGTCAGCTCATGCCAGAATCTCAAGGCCATTTTGGGAAAGGGGCCAGAATTATGCAAGGGTTCTTCTGAAGCAAGTACATGTATTTTGAGGAGTATGTGGGGGCGGGGGGGAGGGTCTATACATTTCCTGTAAGCTTATGAAAAATTTGTGTATATGTGCATTTCATTTGGGAGAGATTCAATAACCTTGTAGGAGTCTGAGATCCTGGAAGTTTAAGGACCGATGACGTAAAAGAACAAGTGAGTTGGTTTCCTGTTCCTTTCTTTCAACTGAGCATAGAGATTGGAAGATGAGATCCTGGTCAAGTGGAGAAGACAAACGTTTTAAACACATAATAGCAACATAAGTCAAATCAATGCTGTGCGGGCACTGAGTCCTTGGAAGATCAGGGAAGGAAGGCTCCAAGGCATTCGAGCAGAGCAGGAAGGGTTTATTGACAAGGAAGATTTCCAAAGTCACTCTACAGATGAAGCCGTGATGGTTCTCTGCCTCTGACATTATCACAGGACACCTGACAGATTCTCGATGGCCCAGTCACCTGTTTGCCTCAGCTCAAGGAAATGTCCGAGCTTCATTAGTCTACTGACCATTTTTTCACTTTTCAGGGTTCCAAGTCATCCTCTAAGGACACTTCAGTTCATTTGTTCTGGGGACAGGAGTGAAAAGAAAATGTAAAACAATGCTCTGAAATGCATCCAGGAAATATATTGTCGTGCAAGCTAATTAGCTTTTGAAAAAGCAGTGCTCTAATCAAGATTTCCATATACTGTGCATGGCCTAATTATAGCAACAATAATACCCCAGATTTACAAAGAGCCTTTCAATACATATCTCTGCAATTATTTCAATTATTCACCAAATATCCTTAGGAAAAGAAAAGAGGTAGATGAAGAAGTGAGTTTTGCTGGGGCCAGTGTAGCTTGCGTTGTTTTCACAGTTGGAGCTAGAGTCTTGATCCTGTTGCATCCTCAGGGCCTAAAACCCTGGTTGCTTAACTCATTAATGTTTACGAAAGAGAAAGAAAAAAAAATCCATGATAATACTAGGGATTATGCAAGTCTTGATTATGTTTTTTTGTTGCTGACTGAAAGATTCCAGGTAGAGCCCGGCTCATGCTTATCTCTCAATTATTTTCTGAGTGAATAAATCAATGAACGATTCAATCAACAAATCATATAGACCCAGACCTTGGCAGGTAAAGCCAATACAAACGTAGTGGTTTAAGAGTTGAGGCCATACGTGCCAGGTGTGAACCAGTCGAAAAATGATTGATATTCAAACTGGCTGACAAATGGTGGCTCAGAAAGGACTTCTTGGAATAGAAGAAGCTCAAACAAGACAGTTCCATGAGAAATGAGTGGAAAGTTGCTTAATCTATCTGTTTGAAGACACAAAGGGAAAAATATGAGCAGTGAGTATGAGAAAATGAAGGAAAATGGCCAAGCACATAATAGGCACTTAATGAATAATGCAGGGGCTTAGAAAATATGTCTTTTCTGGATGACACCAATGTACTCGTTTTTGTGTTTAAAGTGTGGAGTCTCAGTAGCTTCCAGGAGAGTTCAAGGACTCCTTAGTGAATGCGGTATTGCCTCCAGTTTGGATTTAGCAGGTGACGCAGTAATTTCTTTTTATGTTCTCTATTTCAGCCACATTATGACTTACGGGTGACTTAGCTTTTTCAGTTGAACATGGCAGATAGGAATATAGGCTCTCAATTTCTGTTCTCAAAGTTCATGCTTACAGATCTCTTGGTTTAGTACTATTAAGTCTTCCCCCCACTCCCATTTTTTTTTTCCCCAGAGACACCATTTCATGGAGATAGGTGGCTGGCTGTGGGCAAAGTTGCCCAGTGGATCCCATCAGTTAGCTAAACATGTTCAGTGTCTTAGGTCCTGTAGATAGATTAAGAAGTCAAGGACTGGAAGGAAAAGCAGAGAAGTCAGGCAGGGAGTTCAAATAGCAAATACTTGGCTTAAACACTAAGCCATGTAGTAGAACCAAGACAACAAAAGTAGAAAAGATAGTTTCAAGATTTATCTAAGGACAGAAATAAGAATCAGGTAACTTGGTAAAGATGGCTGAGTTTCTGCATCCTTCATGATACAGGTCAGAGGACATGGCTTGGAGGTACGTACTAACAACTGAAGCACAGGGTAAGCTTCCGTGAGTGAACATTGCTCCTGGTTAGGCCAAGGCATACAGTCTCTCTGGAGAGTCTAACACATACCTTACAAATATAGGTAACAGGGTGGAGACTACAAGTGTTGAGAAAACCAATTATGAAATAGGACTGTCTTTATATGTTGGCTTCCATTTTAGGAATCATCCTCTTCACCCCACCCCCAGAAAATAATCCCACAAAAGTCTTTCTATTTTTCACATGGAGTATGTATATCCCAGTTATAGGCCCAAATTCTTAATCTGTGAAGCATTCTTTTCAATTTAAATACAAAATAATGTATCCTTTTATAGTATCTGTCTGGAATCAAAGTAAAAAGATAAATGAAGACTGTGCTACAGATGAAAAATTACCAGGAAATTTCAATAGAGATACTCTGTTATAGAAAGAAAATGCCAGCAGAGAAAACTGTTCATACACAGAGTGACTCTGAGAATGATTGATGGGTCAGCTTCCAAGATATTCAGGATTCTGCAAACTGTTCAGAAAATAAATTGCAAATGAGTACAATTTTATGGATTTGGAGCTTACAAAGTAAGCTTTGATTGTGACTGTTCATTAACGCCAAGAAATAAAATTTCGAATTGTAAACAATTCATAATACCAAAGGATTTTCCTCCAATTAAGCTTGTAGTAATACATTTTGCTCTACTAGATAGATACATCCCTTGTAAGTTGTTCTGTGACATTTGACTTAAGGCAAGTGATGCAAGGTAATCGTGGGCAGAAAGGCTGCCAAAGGGAGAAGCAATGTGATCAATAGGCTTCTTTTGTTGTTGGCAAACATTGTCAGGGGATGATCAGCGTCAGAGCTTGGAGCCAGGGAAAGCTAATAAGATGAGTGGCATATTTCCCACAATATGCTCTAAGTATTTATGCGCTGCTCAAAGCGAGATCTGTAAACACAATGAGGACAAAGAGAATACAACATTATTGATGATATCCTCCTGATTTATGTTTACGGCATCTGTGGATAATAACTTCATTTGTCAGAGGGACCCTTATGAATACTAATTTGGGGTGACAATCCAACCATGACCAGACTAGCTTTGGGTGATGCTCTTCCACTCATATGTATTTAGTGAGGACTATAGTATGTGGAGTGTTCTTAATCTCTGAAAAAGCACACTGGATTTGGGAGATTTTAGGTATAGTGGTTTGCAGAAGTTTGCAGATAATTCACACAGTCACATTTAGAGGCAGAATTAGATGCAGGACAGTATCTTTGAAGTCACATCTATGTTTCCTGAAGGCGATTCTGAGTTTAATTCTAAATGTCTCTCAATCCAAAAGAAGAAAAAAGGGTTAATCCCAACTATTGTTTTGGAGGAAAGATGACAACAGAGCAGTCTTTAAACTTATTTTTTTTTTAAGTAAATAAACTATTATTTTTCTCCTGATGTCTGCTGTCATACTACTTGTTAAACTGTTAGTGACAAGGTCTTGGATTTCAGAAAGGTATGGAACTGTACAGACAGAATTGCAGAGTTAGTGGGTCATTGGAAGGTGTGAAATTAACCACTTTCCACACTGTGAGTCCACCATATCTATTCCGTTTAAGAGCTGTAACCAAAATTCAACCAACCTAATTTACTATCTGTGATTCTAAAAATTCTCCTATGTTTTAAGATTCTCAATCCACACTAGGAAGAAACAGTTCTACAGGGTATGCATATTTTTCATTAAAAACTCATCATTCTTTTGTCTACATGCATGCGTACTGCCTCCTGCCAATACAACCTTCTAGGGACGGCTCCCTCTGCACTTGGCCTTTTCCTTGGTATATGGTTAAGTGGGTGAAACAGGCTGCTCATGTTGGAGGAGGGAACAGATGAGAAAGAAGATAGCCTGTAAGGAGGTCATCCTAGAGGTGTCAGCCAAAGAGGAAGCCCACATTCCAGATGCACTAGCCTCTGGGCACTTAATTGGGGATCTAGGTACTAAAGAGGTGGTTTGTTTCTGTTTCCTCCTATGTTTACCCAATAGAGTGATGTTTACTAATCATATAAATTAGGGGATGTTTATAAACGCTGATATTCATGCATCTGACACTGATTGATTTTTCTTAGGTTAGGTTTTTACCAGTGCTCTTGAGACAAATTATATATAAAAAGTTAACAAGTCTCATATTCATTCAATTTACTAGCATCATACCTGTTGTCCTACTACATCTTCTCTGTCTCCCTTGCTCACTTTCTAGGAGCACCCTGGACAACCTTAAATGTTCTCTATCCTTACTAGAACCTTTCTGATTTTTTTTCAGTTACAGTCAACATACAATTTATATTAGTTTCAGGTATACAACATAGAGATTAGACATTCCTATAACTTACAAAGTGATCACCCTGAGAAGCCTAGTACCCATCTGACACATACACAGTTATTACAATATGATCGACTATATTCCCTGTGCTGTATTTTCTATCCCCATGACTGTTTTTATAATACTAATAACTTTCTATGGAAGATTTCACTGGTAAAGACAGAACATGGGATCAATATCTGCTGGGTCTTCTAGTCTCTGAGCACAAGTTTCTAAATTCTAAACCATGTGAACCAAAATGCGTTCTTATGACAGATACAGACATCCAGGCCTGAGTGAGATTATTTCTGTTTCAAGTCACATCGGAGAACCCCAGTAACACCCACGCCGGAGCACACCCTACACAGGCCTGAGCTCAGGATGAGTTGGTTTGAAAGCTGCTCCTCATTGTATCTCCGCAGGAAATAATCATGCTTAGAAAATATGAAATAATTGTTTGCAGTGCTGGGTTGAGTGATCTTGAACCAAACTGTGAGATATGTCATTTCCCATCTTATTTGTTAAGAAAATGGCTTTGTGTAATAATGGAAGTGACATCTCAAGTACCTTGACTGGAAAAGAAGAGCGAATTACATGTTTTCTGAAGGAGGAAGTCTTATTAGCTCTATTATGTAAAGGCTCACTCGTTTTTTAGTAACTTCCCTTCAGATCCCTCCTTCTTCCTTTTCGTTCATCTTAAGAACATCTGCTGTGCCCACAGCTGTTAAGCACCAAATTTATTATCCCAGCCTCAGTCCCTGCTTTATCCAGTTGGGCGGTTGGCAGCTGTGACTTTCTCACAGCTGCCACAACTGTTGTCACCACAATAGAGGAAATTCAACCAACAAATAAAGTCCAGGAGGTAGAGATGTTAAAGTCAAAATGGCCTAACTGCTCACAGTTGCTAATGTGTCAGA